TCAAACTCAGATGCTGCTCTATCACCTTTCTGGGTAACCCTTCCATGAAAGTGTCCTTTAAATCTGATAGACTGCTCTGTTTTACATATGGTGTACCTTTGTTTGCTATTCAGTAATGGCTATTTTATAATCCCAGAGCTACTCCTTGTTAAAGTGCATGATGGATTCTATAGATAGAGACTATTAGACTCAGAATCAGGTATTGTACAATCTGTTTTGAAGACCAGCCATTGCAGACAGTTATATGCCTGAATAGCTTCAATAAATTGTTCAAATCCTCCTTTATTGTACAGTTAAATGTATGCAGAGTGATTTGCTTCTCTTCAAACATGATGAACCATGATCATAGTCAGTTGCTTTCTTCTTAACTTCCTGGCCATCACCTATCCAAGATGTTCTAGAGATTATGTGCACAGTATGATAAGACATCTCAGGGACTCCAACACTCTTTTCTAGGGTGGCAGAATGACAGTGTGCTCAAGGAAGGCAATTCAATGGCTATCCTGGACCTCAAGTTCTTCTGTGGTGCATGTTTACATTGGCAGTATACTTCCTGGCTTGGGGACGCTGACTATTGTGCTATGATCTAATCATTTTGCCATTTGAAACTTGCTATCTGACCTGCTAGAGAAATAGCTATTGTTGCCAGATGACTTTCACCAATGGTGCCTACAGTCACCCTTTGATGTTTTCAAATGGCTTGGACAAGAGCTTTTACAGCACAAATATTAATCCTAGTCAAAAGAATTTCAGCTGAAAAGTCTTAGTTTGGATGAATTCTTCAGTGATTAGCCATTTTGTGATTCCTACAAAATGTGATGAGTTGAACAATTCGTAGGTGACAGGATATTATGGCACCATAGCTACTACGACATAGTTAGCAGTCTGTCTTACGAGCTTCTGACGGAATGCACGTGTATGAATGAATATTCTTTTCTGTTGCACAAACATCAATGTTACATAAAATCAATGATGGGTGCTATATAACATAATTAAATATCTGACATTGAGAACTCAACTGTTAAGCAACAAATTAATAAGAATAAAGAATTTAACCCGGATAGTAAGACTTTATGATATGAAATTAACTACAATTATTAGCCTGTAAAGCATTATTTGAAGAAATACTGTAACTTAACTTATTATTTACGTGTCAGTTTTGACATTGAAATATTTCTGAAGAACTGAACTTCAATGACGGGATAAGAGGAGTAATTAGACTAGCATTACAAATGGAAAATAACACAGTTTAACCTGATGTTTTCGATAGCAGTAGTGGATAATATTTTACTTGAATTAAATAGAAGTATTCGTAAGCTGGTGAAATTATCTGTAGGCAACACATTGAAGTACTGTGACAAGCATATTGTTTTAGAAAATGTTTTCTTAACATTGTATCAGGAGCAGGTGCAGTTCAAATGCTTGATAGAGAAGACTTTGAAGGTCTAGCAAGAAGTCACAACTAAGACCAGAACTGCAGTGCTTTAGAGTTGTTTTTGGCCTGTATTAAACTTGTATCCAAAAGTAATCTGATAGGAAAAGATATGTTGGTGTTGATGAAGTTTCATAGTAAATACAAATAGAGATAATTGCCAAGTATAGTGGTTTGTTGGTTTGTTTGGTTATTTGTATAGGAACGAGAGTTTCCAGTTTCATGTCCATTTCATTCATACTGGATTTGGACTTTGTTTATATAACAGCCAATCAGTTGTGGATGTGGATGTGGTACAGGGTAGCTGTGAGCTTGTTTCTTGACAATGACAACCTTATAAAACACAGTTGAATTTTGGCCTAGTACAAGTCTCATTGAAACCTAGAGGACTAAGAAGTCCAAAGATAAAAGGGATTACATTCTCTACAGGTGATGTAAACATGAGTAGAAATGCAGAAATGTCAACTGACCATAGCAATAGGTTATTCTCTCTGTTTCTAAAGGACAGAAGATTATTGTAACTAGACAATTACAACTTTAATCTATACTTCTAACTAAAGTTTGAGAATCAGAAGTTGGTTCATCTTGTACCTCAATCCTGACCCTTCCTATTTAAGATCAAGTTTTTAGCCCTTCTGACAATCGTGATGCAAAATAGTCATTATATAATTTTCATTATAGTTTCCAAACTCAAATGTTACTGCATAAATACTGAATTAAAATACACTGAAATCTATCAATTTGGATACTTTTCAGGTATCATTCTGAAGGTTTAATCTGACATTTGATCAAGTAGAGTCAGTGAATGGTGACGTATTTCTCACCAACTAGTTAGAGATTATAGCTCTGACTGGTGATGCGCATGTACTAACCCTGAAGTCTCCAAGTACACAAACTCCTAAGCCAATGGGTATTGTAAGATTATTTCTGAGCCAACCAGAATATAATACACAGAAACTACACCGATTACTACCACCACGACCCAATTAAGCTCAGTCTCAACTTTCAAGCGACCCATTGGCCGACACCAGGTGGAGAAGTGTCATCAATATCCAAATGCATGCACGTGAGGAAGGAGCATTGTATTTAAAAACACAAATAGACAGGCCTTCAAACTAACTTCTTTCTAGAGGTCATCCAAATTCATGGAAGGTCTGACTACATTGGAACCAACAAGCCTCATAATGAAAGTCACAGCCAAACCATCAGTAGAGAGAGCTCCAGTGGCTCGTCATATCAATATGGGAGCACCCATCTCAGCTGTTGCACCTCCTCTGCTCACAGTATAATTCCAGCTGCAACCTCCACAGACAGAGAATTACAGGTGCTCATCATGCTTTGGACTGAAATAAAAGGACAAAAGAGATTCCCTACACTTTTACAGATACTGGCTATAAATTTCCACTGCTTAAAGTAAGCAATCAGATGGACAGAAGTCTGGATGCTTTAAAAATGAGAGTAATTCCAGTTCCTGAAGTGTATGGATCCTCTTTCACAGCTGCCTGAAGAGGTACACCACCTATGAGCTGAGCTGGCACAGATGCAGAAGGCTATTGTGAGAGCCTAAGATAATATACATAAATGAGCACAGCTTTATATAAGTCGACTGCTGCATTGGAAGATTTGTTGTTGGGACTCCACTGAAGATGAGAAGCTGTAGCTCCCCAAATTCTGTACTTATGTTTTTCTTATTATTATATATTATTTTTATTTTCCTTTTCATATAAGGCTGAGCATGACCTAACGGTTAGTGTGGCGAGCTGTAAATCTACGATTCTTTGGTTTGCATCTCATTACCACCAAAAATAAGTATAAGAATTTGGGGATATGGTTATATTATAAGAAAAACAGCAAAATACTATTATTCTGTCTGACTGGCATAGCCCAAGAATTAGTGGTCGGTGGTGTTCACTAGTTGTCTTCCCTTTAATCTATCACTTCAAAATTAGAGACATCCAGAACCAATAGCTCTTGAGTAGCATTGAACAATATTCTGCAAAATGATCCTTTTCATATAAGCATCATTAAAAAAGGGTAATTTGAAGCTCCATTGATGATTTTTCTGTATAAACATTAGACAATCTTAAGTGATCTTTCTTTTTTTTAGACATTACTTTTTATTAATATTTTTGTTTTTATTTGTTGTACATATTTATATACTCTGAAACCTCTGTATATATATTTATTATAGTCATTATTTTTGGGAATGCGTTATATTGTATATATACAGTGTAATAGAGTAAATTGTAAGTATTTTATGAATATGTGGCATTGTTGTATTATTATAAAGGTTTTTATGTTGTAATCTTGTATTTTGATTTTGGTATGTTTTACTTTCATAAAGGGTCTTTTTATCTTTATTCTACATACTTTAATATGGAATTTTATAAAGGATAGTACTTAGTCTTATATTTTTGGTATGAAACAATGAAGTGTTGTTTCGTATGGCACAAAAAGGGTTAATATAATGTATTATAATGTGATTCTTAAAAGGTTTATCTTATATTAATTATGTTATAGGGTATGTTTTATTTTTCAAAATCAAACTTAAAGAGTTTGTTTTTACATTTCTTTATATTTTGTAATAGTTTGTTAAAAAAAGATATGTTTGCTGTATACTTATTTGTATTGTTGTACAAGAGCTACATGAATTTCTTGCTTCATACAAGATATAATTCGTTCTTAAATTTCGAATTTTTACATTAAATAAAGAGTTAAGAAGCTGGTGGTCTTTATTTAATGTCATTATGCTTGCAGTGTTAATTCAAAATGTAAGTTAAATGAACCATTAAGTTAATATTGGTCTAGTTACTTACTGAGCTGGGCCATTCAACTAGAGCGCACATGAAGTTTCTGGTGGAAAAGTGTAGAAAGAGACACTGATATTTTCCACCGGCAAGTCAAGTGATACCTCAAGAATACAACATCCATTAATTTGCAGCCACGTGGGTTGTAGCTATGTCCTAATAAGAATGGAATATATGCTTTTCGTATATAATACCAATTTTCTCAATCAGGAACAGTTTGACTTGGAATATACAACTATTTTACTTAGATTCTAGTAAAGGTGCAAGAAAATGCACTTGTTTTTGTTTGAAATCAATATTGCACCACTGTGTTTTACAAATGTACATTGTGTCCAGTCTCTTTCTTTGCTTCAAACATAGTCGAAGTTACATAATCCTGATTCATTTCATAATACATTTTCTTTCGAAACCTGTTAATCAGTGGCTCCAACCCGACTACCTTAAGGGAAGTCAGAGTACTTAAAAATACCACACGTTTAATTTTCAACATACTTCATATTAAGTCATCACAGTGCAAGAATCAACTTAGAAGTAACATTTAGCTCACTTTGCATACTGAAAATAATGAATGAAATGTATTACTCATAAGATTTTCTATAAATATCATTTCTATGATTTCGCTTTATATCCAACGGAAATTCATCCTGATTGAGTTAAGAAAACCCCGTTTTATTCATTATTTAACTTGGGGATATTTAGTTTTCTGTGAAAACTATTACCTTTCAGATCTGCTCCTGTTATTTTTGTACTTAATTTTACAGACTAGGTGTCTTTATGGTGAATCCTTACCTGAGAAATCTACAAAAAATACAGAAAAGGAAAATGTTGAGGCACTGTTTTCCGAATTTTGGACATGGAGGTTGCAACAAAGTCCAGAATTTGCCTCTGAAGTAGGAAACCACACGTTTGATGACCGCCTAGATTCATACGCTCTAGAAGTCTTCAGAAAAAGAATGGTAAACTTGTTTAAAGTGTTTTTATTTTAAGAAATTATGAACATATATATATATAAAAGTTAATAAACACTCCTAATATTATAAATTACACCAATTGTGTATAAGCGACCAAATCAGATCTTTTTAAAAACTGTAAATTATGAGATTCTAGCCTAAAAAAGGAAAACTTTGTATTAAGCCGTCAAGAAATTAATGTCGCTATTTTTTATATATCAAAACGAAACATTCATTAAATAAAATAGTCTCCATTCTTATCGAAGATGCTTTTCCATCTTACAATCAGGCTGTTAATGCCCAGAGTTAAGAAATCACTTGGCTTTAAAGAAAAAAAAACATGTCGATGTCTTCTTTAATAATATTTACATTTGCACGCCTTGGTGTTGCAGCGAACGAAAAAGATGGTGATCTGATAGTGCCATATCTGGAGAACATGGTGGGTGGGGGAGAACTTCTCAACCCAACTCCATAATCTTGTGTTGCGTCAAACATGTGGGTGTGCATTGTCGTGGAGAAGAAGAATACCTTTCCGATTGACGAGTGAAGGGCGTTTCTGATGAAGGGCTTGATTTAAACGTTCCAGTTGCTGACTATAGATCTCTGCATTGACAGTTCACTGTGGATTGAGGAGTTCGAAATGAATTACTCCTTTGATGTCCCACCAAATGCAAATCATCACTTTCTACGGATAGAGTCCATGTTTTGCGGTCGGAAGTGGTTTTTGTCTTGGACTGAGCCATTGTTTTTGCCGTTTAATATTCGCATACAGAATCCATTTTTCATCACCGATGACAATTCTGTCCAAAAATGGTTCACGCGCGTTACGCGCCAGAAGAGACGAAGCAACGTTTACACGTTGGAAACGATGATCATCGGAGAGTTCTTTATGGAGTTTTCCCATATTCCTTATACGTCTACGTATTGTTTCATGAGAGACATGCAATATCAGGGCCATTTCACGAGTGCGTTGCCTTGGGTTAGAGTCAACAAGCGTCTTCAGAGCATCAATATCAATTCCAACATGTCGGCCCCTGCCATATCAGTTTTTTAAAGCTAAAGTCACCTGAAGGAAATTTGCTGAACCATCGTTGACACTTACGAATGTTCAAAACATTTCCATAAACTTCTTGTATATTCTTTGTGGCTACATAGGAGTTGTTTCCCTTCTTGTATTCAAACAACATTACATGCCAAATGTGTGTCTCGTCGTGTGCCATCACTATAAGGGATTAGAATATACTCAACTTTACACATCATATAGGCTACACTAACGTGACGTTTAGGAGGTTCGTTTAACTATTATACGTGATGTAGATTTTTTGGGGGGTGGTGGTTATTGAAAGTGTTCCAAAACGCGACATTAATTTCTTTTTGACCCAATACATTGCCAGAGGTTGTAATAACTGAAAACTTTTATAGTCATAGCACCCAATCGTTAGGGATACTCCCTCTATCTCACATAATTCTAACGTAAATGCCAATGGTAGTTGCTATTGGAGGATCAAATTAGGTGTTAGGGGATGATTACTTTGACAAACAACGTCTCAACTCCTACTGCCTTTCGCTGTCTTTAGCCAACAGTGGGAAGGAAATCACCTGTAATATTTCTACATTTGTATGACTTCAAACCTTTATACTTTAAATAATTATTACAAAATGATGATAATTGGAACTTTATTTTTATGTAAAGTTGAAGGAGATTCGTGGATACACCTAAAAGGCTAGGATTATCATAAACACTTTCGATATATCATGATCAATAGCATATGAGTACGTAGTTGTGTTGGATTCTGTTGAAACTATTTGAATGATTGTTTTTATTACAATTAGATTTATGATAGCAGCTTTAATATTTTATTGAATCTTTCGTTTGCAAATCAGAAAACAGCGTCAAAGATTATTAATTAAATAGGACATTCTGTATCTCAATAACCCAATTTTTTGCATTCATTTCTATACATTTAGTGTCAATAAGATAATTTAAGAATCCAATTGTGTTAAAACATGATGTGATAAATTTCGCATTAAATATTTATTTTTTATAATAAGTATATTTGTGTCCCAAAAGTCGCTTATTATATTGTCTAATTAATGCTCTGTTATTTAATTCACTTCAAGATTTTATGTTGTGTTGAAACAATGTTGTCATAACGGTATGTTTAGGAGTATTTTATCTTTTTCATAAAGTATACATTTTCAATATTAAGTATACTTGTGTCCCCAAAATATCTTATTATGTTGTCAAGTTAATGCTATGTTGTGTCGTTCACTTTTACATTTTATGTTGTGTAGAAACATTAAAGACGTTGTTAGAACATTCATATATATTTTTTAAGTTAAGTAATTATTTTATTAATTAATTATTCTCTATTGGATACATGTGCAAACTAAACAAAAAGTTAGACAAAATGATTAAAAAAGAAGTTGTCATTATATATTCTTAAACTCTATTGGAGAGAGAGATACGTGTAAATAACATAGGCCTGCGATGGTTTTACTGTCTTGAAATTTGTACATGTTCTACAGTAATTCCTGTACGCTGAATCCAAAAATGATATTCATTTTTCTCCATCATGTACAGATTTTTCACCAAACAAATTAACGCAATACATAAAAGAAAGACTACAACACGTAGTTTTGAGACTAAAAGACGCAGATTTCACAAAAGAAAATCAGGATGAATGAGGATGCATATTCGTTTGACATCAATGTTCTTCCCTTTTCTTCAGTTTTTTGTATTTTTGTTGACAAATACAATAATAAAAAATGTTCATTGTGGTAAACAAAATAATAATTTGATCTAAATAAGAGTTTTTTTTCTTCTTCACGATTTCTAAAAAAATCCTTACACGATAGAAAAAATGAATATTATTTTCGAAATCTGTGTAGCTGAATTATAGAAAATCCGTTATTAAAACCAAAACAACTTTCATGAACTTTAAATTCGCAGGCCTGTGTTATTATATAATGCTTAAGTACATTGTTGTGAAACAAAAACAGAACTTTAATATTTCTTATATATATGGTGTTTTTGTTTTGTTTCCTAAAAAGACAGATGCTGAGAGGTTCCTTCAAATCGCTCACGAATTACTTCCTAATTTGGAAGATGGAACGTACCGTTCTAACTTAGAACTTTTAATTTCCGAACTGCAACTATTCGTTGACGGTATGAAATTTTCAGGGTAAGACTGATGTTGAAGAAAATATTTATTTTACACAAATTAGGAATTAATAATAAAAAAAAACAAACTGGTAATCGGATTACATAAAACCTGAAGTTACCAGAAGTGTACCTGACTGAAGTAATCGTAGTTTTATCATTTTGTTTTAGAATCTTGAAGTAGTTCTTCAGTTTTTGTTAAATTCTAAATACGCTCAAGAATTTTTATTTGCTATTACTGACGCAGTTACACACATAAAATCACAACAATTTGATTTAAGCTTTTCTGGAATTGATTGAGGTATTTGATGAAACTTTAGTCTGAGAAACTGCCGAAATATTAGAGAACTTAATAAAAGTGTACTTCAAATATGTGCAATTTTAAACATATTGTGTTTCTTTGTAGTTAAGCACAAAGCTACACAATGGACTATCTGGGCTCTGCCCACCAGGGGTATCGAAACCCGGATTTTAGCGTTGTAAATCCGCAGACATACCACTGTGCCACTGGGAGGCAAACATATTGTGAACATTACGTTTTCTAATCCAAAAATGAGTGACGTTTTCATAACTTTGTTTAGAATACACAGATTTGAAAACCTTTCGGTAAATTCGAGGACCTATAAAATGTATAAATTATTAAATATCATTAACTGCTTATTCCCATATTGAACTGCTTGTTTATTTCAGTTAAACTGAAATTAAAATAATAGACAGTTAAAATAATAGGTAGTAAAATATTATCTATCTTTTTTCAGGTATTTTTTTCCTGTTAATCGCTTAGAAGGAGTACAGCGGAACTTGGTAATTACAGTGAACAGTGCTATGAAGTTTGATACCACTGAAGACTTTAGAAAACTGATTTCACGGTATCGTGCTTTTCCAAAACAGGTAAAAAATAAAATATAATTAATTATACTTGTCAGAAGACATTAGTATTAAACCTATTATATTTGTTAACTTGACCTTCTTTATTCAGTTCCTATAACAATTGTTAAGAATAGAATAACTTAGAATATAATTTTTAGTTATTTTCAATTCGTATATTCCTATTTTACAATATATATTTCAGTTATAAAGTCAAATCATCGCAATAAATCTCAAAATGAGCCTTCAAGCATATAATGTTAACTTTTAGTTTCCAGTTGATAAGATTGTTGTCCAAAACGTTAGTGGCCCGAGCTGAAAAGAAACACTACTATATTGTATAATTTTTTCTGATAAATATTTTGTTTTAACCTTTTTATGAGTAAACAACACGTAGCATGTAACTTAACGAGCTTATTTGGTATGTCGCGGATTTTTGATGAACATAAGTGAGCAGTAATGAAAGTCAGGGTAAAGATCGAACTTCGTGCCATGATACAATATTGTGTTAAAAAAAAATTGACCAAGCAATTAATCCACCAAGATATAGAAGCAACATTAAAAGAGGGTGATTCGGCACATTCAACAGCAAAAAAGTGGTGGTGGTGAGTTTAAGAGTGATAGACAATGATGTGAAGATGATTCGACGTAAGATTGGCCGTCGACGTCGACCACAACACAAATTGTAGATAACATTTTTTATTTGGTTATGTATGTTAGAAAAATTACCATTAGGAAGTTAGCAGAGGAAGTGAGTATCGGTAAAAATACTGTAGCAAGCATTTTGACTGACAGTTTGTTCATGAGTAAAGTTAGTGCCAGATGGGTTCCATAAATACTGTCACCTGAGCAGAAACGGATCCGAGTTGTTGAAAGCCAACGCCTACTCCAAAGATTTCAATAGGTTCTTAACAATGGATGAAACATAAACTCACTACTTCGATCCAGAGATAAAAAATGCAACGTTTCAATGGAAACACCTAAGTTCACCCACCTCAAAGAAGTTTAAGTCATAACACCCTCTGCTGGGAAGGCCATGGTCATTTTTTGGAATGCCAAAGACGTTTTGCTAGTTGATTATTTGGAAAGGGGTCATTCCATTACAGGAGATTACTATGTATCGTTAATCGACAATATGCGTCATGAAATCAAAGAAACGAGAGGAGGATTCCTAAAAAAAGGTGTGCTTTTCCATCAGGACATCGCGTGTTGCTTTGAACGCTATCCATGATGCTGGTTTCCAATCAACTCGACCACCCCTCCCCTTACTCACTGTATTTAGCTCCAAGTAACGTTTTTTTTTCTCTTTCCTAACCTTAAAATCTTTCTGAAAACTCGAATATTTCAGAGTGATGATAATCTCGTACATACCGTCCAATCATAGATTGAGGACCAAGAATAATTCTTTTAGATGGGCATAAAGGACTTAGAACACTGCTGACGTAAGTGTATAGAATAAGGAGGAGTTTATGTTGTAAAGTGAAACATTGTAACAGTGTCTCTTTTCTCTATAGTTCGGACCACGAATTTTTCGGACACCCCTCGTATATACAATTAATAAATGTTCGAAATAGATAAGTCCAGACTTGAATGCTTATATTGTTGATTGGAAATACTGACCAGAGCGTCTTCATGAGATATATTTAAATTCTCAGTAATAATTTTGATATATTATAATATAACTTGCATTATATTAAGCTAAAATTAACTGCCGTTTTTGTTTGGAGTATTGTATATCTGGGGGTCTCACGATATCCTTCTGAGAATCCTCTTAACATTTTGTGTGAATACTAAAGAATTTCGAAGTATTTAATCAATAAACTCTTTAACCATCGTCCATACACAAACAACATTAGTCCAGATACAAATAACGTTTGGTAAAACAAATTAAAAATACAAAAGCTGATGGTACTTTTAGTCAAAATAGCGCATTAACTGGATAGATAAGATACAAAAAAGTCCACTTATAGAATTAATAACTGACTCAAGAAGACTTTCTTACTCTATGAAGTTAAATATTTTTAAACTGGAATAACCATATAGAGGGGATGAAATAATTCATTATTTTTTCACTAGGGCCAAAAATATAACAGTATTAAAAAAAGGGTTCTATATGCAAACTTGAGAAACCATGTTAAAGGAGATAACGGGCATATCTTATTTACATTATAGAAGCGAAATGTTGCAAGAAGAAACAAAACAGAAAACAAACATGTTAAATTCCACGAATTCCTTAGATATTTCATTAGAAACGTTTCTAATAGGAATGGTGTAAATTAGTTAACCACTGTATTTTTCTCTATATTTTGATAAATCTTGATAAATAAATAAATATATATGTATATATCGCAATACCGTTATCAGTCCTGGTTGTCAACTTATTGTCATAACGGATAATTTCTGTGGTAATAGCATCCAAATGCGTTGGGGATATCCCATCTATCAGATAAAATCCAAATGCTGATGTCAATCTAGACTGACTAGACCCTTCAAAACTAATCACTTCTAAGACTGGGTCATAGTCTAATTGTATACTGACTTTCGTCCAAATGTATTTAAAATTTTTTTAGAAATCTTGCTGTCATACACAAACAAAAACACACACACAAATGGGTGAAAACATAACCTCCGTCACGTGGCGGAGATAATATCGAAGAGACATAAAAAGGTAGATTTTGCGTTTCGTAATATCAAGTATTTTTCTTCCTAGGCAGAGGAAATAATTGAACTAATGAAAGAAGGAATCCGTCAAGGTCGAACTAACCATGCTGTCTCCATGGTAATCCATAACTTTTTGTTTTGGGCTGTAGTTTATTATATAATAATATATGTTTTGTTTCATTTTGGGAATTTCAAAAGTAAATAATTTTCGAACAGCTTAGGAATATAAATTCTTCCAAAGGTAATGCAAAGTAATAATAATAATAATAGAAACAGTTGTGTCAACTTTGTTACAGTTGATACGATTTCTAGCCATTACCATTAGTTATTATTGATCGGCCTTCTCTAGTCCTGTACAACTGACTACAGTTTCAAAAAAATTCTAGTTAAGTCTTTTACCCTTCTTACAAAATTTTTCTTAGTCTACCCAACGTTCATGGTTCCTTCCAGTGGCTCAGCGGTAAGTCTGTAGGCTTACGACTATAAAAATTGACTTTCCATACCGTGGTGGCCAAAGCACAGTTAGTCCCATTCTGTAGCCTTGAAATTACAACAGTAACCAACTAACCGTTCATGGTTGACATTTAACTAAACCTCAGAAATCTTTCTTTGTATCGCGAAAGTTGTTCGGTAAATATTAACAATGTAATACCTCACTAATACCTGGTAAATATTAACAATGTAATACCTCACTAATACCTGGTAAATATCAACAATGTAATACCTCACTAATACCTGGTAAATATCAACAA